TCAAGTGCCCGAATGGAAGGGAGGGAAGTTGTGCTTTGCGCAAGAGCGAAGTGGAGGCGGGAGGGTGGACTGGGCCGGCGGAAAACAGCTCCCTACTCCCCACCATCCGCACGCGGTTCTCACGCTGAAGACCACAGCGCATGCTCCGCCACCTGAGCGGTCCCATTGCTCCCTCAGACCTCCGCCCTCCTGGCGGTCAGTGCGCATGTGCGGCTGCTTACTGCCTGCCTAAGCACAAGGACTCCACTGGAGAGATGCGTATGAGCAATCGCGGTCAGACAGACTCGGCGAAGAAAAAGAAACACACCTTCCCTGAAGGCTAGTGCGCAGTCGCAAACGCACGTGGACGTCTTTAAAACCAACATTGTCTGGAAGAACGCACCCTCCCCCCATCGAGCCGATTGCGCATGCTCGGCTGCGCGCGGACGGCCCGTCTTTGCTCTTCTGCGCCTGCGCGACCGTGATTCTTCACTCTCGTCTCCCCACCCCCCAGGTCCGGTTGTGCGGGCCGCGAGCTTCGAAAGGGCGGGAAAGGCGGTTGGAGAGGGAGAGGCGAGCGGTTACTCACTCCATGGCTGCGGGAAAGAGAGGCAGCGGCGGCCTCAGGTGAAGAAAGAAGGCAGGAGCGGAGAGCGCAGGCGCGGTAAGCGCGGAGACGGGCCGGGGCAGAGGGGTCGCGGCTACAGAGCCATGGCCGGGGCTACGCGGGCGGAGGCAGCGTCGCGGTAGCGTGAGGACAGATCGTGATCTGAGGATGGGGAATGAGGCGGCCCCGGGGACTGGGGACAGATATACCGGGGACGGCGCAGCACGGCCTGGCGGGATCCTTCCGCGCCCGCCCCGTGCGGCGCCATCCGGGAGGCGGGCTGGGCCCTACCCTCGGGATCCCGGGCTCGGTCCCCCTCCTCCTTTCTTCCCTGGGGCTGGGCTCTCTGTTTCCTCCGACCTGAGGGTCTGGGCCCGCTTTCCTTCCGACTCCGAGGTTCCCATCCTCCCTTTCCTCTGACTCTGGGGTTGAGTCCCCTCCTTGTGATCTGGGATCCGGCCCCTGCTCCCTCTGATTCTGGTGATTCTGCCCCTCCTCTTCCCTGAGATCACCAGTTCATCTCTCCTTTCCTTTCCTGTGCTTCACAAATTTCCGGCCAGCCACATGCTGGTCTCTCCATCCCTCAACTGCTTTCCCACTCTGAGAACCCCTTTTGGGGGTTAGAATTGCATGAGTCACAGACGGTGCTCCATTCAAATCACTGACCAGCGAGGCGAGGGTGGCCTTGGGCAAATAACTTAAATTCCCTAGCCTCATAGATAAAGAACTATCTGTAAAATGTGGAGAATAATCAACTCTACTCGGTGGGGTCGTTTGTGAAAATCAAGTAAGTCGATGCCTGTGAAACCCGGATCCAGCCTCAAACGTGCTCAACCCCTTTTATTATGATAGTAATAGGGAGGAACTCTGGGGCCCAGTCTCTCCCCTTCCAGCCCCCCTGACAACACCTGTTAATAGCCCATTCTTGGGTCTCCTTCACTCCTCCAAGGTGATTTTCAGCCATCCCCATCCCCCAATCCCAAATGATGGACTCAGCCCTATCTCGGTGCAGGGAGTCAGGCAGCATCGCCCTCTTGCCTTTTCTCTGTCCCCTGCCCATCACCCCTCAGCCCTTATCCTCAGCACTCCTTTCAGGCCAGTTGGTTCATTCTTCTGTCCCTGCCCCTCACCTAGACTTCCTTTTAAAGAATCCTCTACCTTAGCTGCCCCTCAATAGGTCAGTCTTACAAACCCTGCCAAAAATAGATCTATACTTCCATTTGCTAAAAAAGAGGGACTTCTCACCATCCCCTCCCGGTACCCTGGGCTTTCCACCAGCCCAAGTGAATGTGTCTTTCCTCTGCTGCAGAATCCCTCCCTTTCCTACCCTGCCTTCATCCACATCAGAACTGTACACCTGAAGTGCAACTTTTCATCACTTTTGTTGGCACTTATGAGACTGAATCAAGATCCAAAGATGAGGTACCCTGATCCTGAGAGTTATCTGGGGATGAAGACACGCAGGCTTTTTTTCTTCCACATGCATGTGCTCTTTATTTTCCTTCCAGTTTTATTGAGATATAGTTGAGAGAGAGCACTCTGTAAGTTTGAGATGTACAGCCTAATGGTTTGACTTAGATCCCTCAGGAAGTGATTACCTCAATAAGTTGAGTGAACATCCATCATCTATAGAGGCAAAAAGAAAGAAATAGAAAAAGTACTTTTTTCCTTGTGATGAGAGCTCTTAGGATTTACTCTCTTAACAACTTTCATATCTAACATATAGCAGTATTCATTGTATTTATCAGATTGTACATTATATCCCTAGTGCAGGCTACTGTTGCATACAGAAAGTTCTTGAGATATGACCATCTTCCCTTGGAGTACTTACTGTCCACTCTGCCAGGATTTGAGCGCTTGTTCTCTCGGGGCTACATTGTTGCCTGGGCCACAGAGTAGTGGTTAAGAGCACAGACCGGAACCAAGTTGCTGGGTTCAAACGCTGGCTACACCCCACTTACTAGCTTACTGGCAATTTCCCTGTGCCCCAGTTTCCATGAATAGTAGCAGAACAAAGTGTGGAGTTTAGTTAATAGAAACGTACAAGTGTATGTGGCCATTACAGTACTGTTTCTTAGTACTGTTAGGAGATTAAATGAGGCCAAGTGTGCTTAGACTAGTGGCTGGCGCACAGTGGGTGCTACATAAGGAGTTTTCATGCTTCTAGTTATTGAGGTGGATGTGTTTTATCTCCATTGCTAAGCAGCAGCAGTGCTTTGAAAGGTCTTCCAACTTTTACATGAGATGAAAGGACCAACCTCCTTCCACTCAAGATAGATGTTTAGGCAATAGCGGGTAGGATTAGGTTAAACTGTTGGACAGAGACCGCTGGCAGTGAGGGGGCAGAGTCACCCCCAGTCTCCTGCTTCTGAAAGGGCCTTCTAGGTAAGTTATACAGTGGACTAGGTAGAGTAGTTTTCTTTAAATAAGTTTTTATTGTGTAATAATTGGAGATGTACAGGAAAGCTGCTGAGACAGTACGGAGAGTTTCCGGGTACCTTCGTCCCCTTTCCCTCACCCTTGACGCCTTATATTCCTCCGATACATTTCTTACAGCGCAGGAACCAGCATCAGTACATGTCTGTTCGCTGAACTCCACCTTGTCTCCTGATTTCCCCACTTGTTCTCTGTGCCTTTCCTTTATTCCAGGATCCCGTCCAGGATGCCATGCCCCACTTAGTTGTCGCATGTCCTTAGCCACCCTGGTCTGCAGAGGTTTCTCAGACTGCTCTTGTCTCTCATGACCCTGGCGGTTTTGAAGAGCGCTGGCTGGGTATCATGTGTAATGCCCCTCCATTTGGTTTTGTCTCACAGACTGTGGATATGGGTTTTTGAGAGGATGACCGGGTAGGATCCTTAATGACTAGAAAGGAACTTCCTCAAGATGGGAATCATGCTGCCAGTTGCTCGCAGTGTGTGCTGACCAAGAAGACCCTGAGTCCCCGTCCCAGCCCCCTTGTGCCTTTTTTCACTCTCTCACTGTAGGATCCCACAGAGTTGAGTCCTGGTGCCAGCAGCCCCACTCAAGCAGCCTGACTCAGTCCTGCTCAGTGGGTGCCAGTGTGCATGGCCCCCTGGCCATTCCAGTGTATTCTGATTTATGGGCAGTGGGTCATCAGTGGTGCCTGTGAGCCCAGGTCTTGGCGCCTTGAGCCCTCTGCCCTTGCCCACTCCAATCTGAACCCTTTGATTCCTTCAGGCCTCAGACGCCTCGGCCTACCCCAACTTCACAAAGTCTTCCAGGGTCCAGGTGCCCCAGGCCCTTCAACTCCTGAGCTGGAGCTGAGAGCATGGGTGGGGCTGCTGGGACTCTTTTCTTCAGTGCGGAGGAGCCAGGCTTGTGGTGTGAGGCGGCCGTTGCAGGGAGGTTGCATCACCCTGGCTCTTTGATGGGGAGGGGGAGTAGGGGGATTCTCTGGGGGCCCCCCTGCACACCTGGCAACAGTTCCCAGTTAACGGAGCCCTGGAACCCTGAATGGAGAGAGGCCCCAGCATAGCAAGGGAGGGAGTCATTGAAGGGGAGGGAGCAGCCAGCGCAGGACCATGAGAATCAGGCTCAATGCCAAGAATGGGCTCAGATCACAGGGGCTGACCCGCTCTAGAAAGGGCTGAGGCTCGGAGAGGTGAAAGGAGTTGTGTATGATCACACTGTGACGTAGAGCCTGGACCTCCGCAAGGTCCTGCAAGCCCCAGGGAGAGCCTGGCTCCTCTCAGATGTGTGGGGGCCCTGACCCCCGGCTCAGGATGCAGCCTGCCAGGGGGCCACTAAGTCTGGACCTTCACCTCTGGTTTGCTGCTGCTCACAATTGCCAAATTCTATTGATTGTGACCCGCCCCTCCCCACCCCCCTGCCCCAGAGGAGGCCCTCTTCACCTGTACTGTTACTGATCCCCTCACTGGTTTCCCAGCCCAGCTGACAGCCTGGCATGATGGAAGAGGCACCGAGTTTCCATCAGATGGATCCAGGTCCCTCAGCCCACACCGCATAGTCCTGGCTGGGGGTGCAGGCAAAGTCCTTACTCTGCCTGGGCCACGGCTGCCTTCGGAAAAGTGGCTCAGAGTGTGCACTCGAGCCAGCCTGCTGGGTTCACATCCAGATTCCACTGCTTCTTTGACCCTCAGCAAATGGCATCATCCCTCTGTGACTCAGTTACCTCATCCATAAAATGGGTGGAAGATGACCCACCTCACAGGATTGTTGGGAGGATTAACTGGATAAAGGTGTGTAAAATTTCTAGAATGGAGTCTCCCTAATTATGAGCATTAATTACTTCTCACTAAGGTTTGGGTGCTGGAAGGATTATGTGAAATGATGAGGATAAAGCCCAGCACTTCCTCGGAGCTCCAGGTCAGCACATGCTTCTCTTCCTATTCCCACCACACTTTGTTCTTCTTTCATAGTCGCCTCACAGGCAGATGTCTGTGGATGCAACTTTCCCTGAGCACTTAGAGAGTAGGTCAGGACCCTCCTCAGTCCCTAGACTTGTTCCCCTCAGCCCCCAGCCCTGTGCCACTTCCTCAGTAGGTATCAGTTCATTTTTAAATGAATTGCTCAGGCACAGAGACTGGGGAATTCAGTACTGTGGCCCCTGAAGAGGCACTAGGGCAGGTGTCTGGGTCATGCAGGCCAGGAGGGCAGGGGTTAGGGGTGGGCGTCTCAGCAAACAAGGGCAGGAAGGCCAAGGCCAGTTCAGTTGGGGAAAGAGCAGTGCGGGGGCCAGGCACACAGCACGGGGCTGCCTCGTGGCCCCGTGGCTCAGAGTCCGCCAGAGCCCCTTCCCTCCCCTCCCACCTGCTACGCCTCCCTCAGCCGAAGCAACCACAGCTCTCGGAGCCTGGCTAGGCCATGCACCGCCGCGCCAGCTCCAGCATCCTCCGTGGCCATCTTCTCTGTTCCCTTCCTGTGGCTGCTATAGCAGATCACCACAGGCTTAGCGGCTTAAAACACACACATTTATTCCCTTTGGAGACCAGAAATCTAAAAAGGGGTCCTTCCAGAGGCTCTGGGGGAGAATCCATTCTGTTGCCTTTTCCAGCTTCTAGAGGCCATCTGTGTT